TAGCGATCTTAGTATAGTGGTTAGGTTGTTAGACTGCTATGCAAGAGGTCTGGAGTTCAAATCCTACTGTCGATGAATTTGAATAATTATTCAGACCTTTGTATCTAACTTATGGTAAACCCTGTTTGTTTCTGGGGTTGTAACCCTGTAAATCATGTTGCACCAATATCATTCGGATATTAGAAGTATGATAAAATGTTCAGAGAGTGTAATGTTATATGAATAAATCTTGATAGGATCTACAAGCAGGAGACCTGCATAGTAGAAATCCTGAGTTGATAAAGTAGTATGGCTTTTGACAGTCATACAAGCTAATGCTTGATCCAGAAAAGAAACTATTGTCAAAAGATGCCGATCGAGTCAGATGTGCATAAATCTGTTCTATAAGGAGGATTAGTTACACTAACCTGGTTTGGCAGCTAACTGGATTGGAAGGATCTGCCTCATGAAACATCCGAGAAGATAGACACAGAAAACTAGTAGAGAGCTATAGTAGAAACTAGAGTTGTATAAACATCTGCAAGGGTCTAAGCTAAGTAAATCTGTAAAATGAGTATGGACCGCTCTAGTAGGATTGCTTACAAGATTAACTGGAACTCTGCATGCTACAATATGTTAAGCAATACGCATCTCGAGAGGACCTAAGCTGAGTTAGGTAAATAGATCTGCAACAAGCTAGCTGACTTAAGCAGTTAGGTATTATAGTAATATTAGTTGATTCTGGTATTGGTTAGGTAAACAGAGTGTTTAAATAGATAACTCACAAGTGGATTACAGGTATAACAGCTTGTATAGAACCAAACAGGTGATCTACCAGTACAGCAGACTACTTAAATTAGATAATAACTAAAGTTGTACGTGTAGCAGGTTGTATACTCTTTATGTAATTACAAACTGTAGAAGATTGTTAACAGACAACCTTATATATTAAACTAATAAAATCTACTCAGCAAAGTAAGCTGCCTTAATTAAAAAAAAATAAAAATAAATTAATCTTTATAAAAATTTAATAATCTTAAAATCTTGTAATTCAAATTATATAATCTTGTACTTATTAGAACTATTTTAATAAAGATCTGGTAATCTTAATGTAATAATTAAATTATTAGACTGCTATACAAGAAGTCTAAAATTCAAATTCTACTGTTGACAAATTTGAATAATTATCTAAACCTTTGTACTCAACTTATAGTAAACTTTGTTTGTTTCTGAGGTTATAATCTTGTAAATTATATTGCATCAATATTATCTAAATATTCAAAGTATGAAGTAATATTTGAAGAAATATAATATTACATGAATAAATCTTAATAGAATCTATAAACATAGAATCTGCATAGTAGAAATCTTAAGTTAGTAAAGTAATATAGCTTTCAACAATCATACTAGCTAATATTTAATTTAAAAAAAAACTATACTTGAAGATTTAAATTATATTAGATATATATAAGTTTGTATTATAGTAGAGATTACTATATATTATAGTAATACTAACTTGACTTAGTAGCTAACTAAATTAGAAGGATCTAACTTATAATAAGTCTTAGTAAGATCAGAAAATATATACTAGTAAAGAGCTATAGTAGGAACTAGGATTATATAAACTTCTACAAAGATCTAAGCTAAGTAAGTCTATAAAATAGGTATAGGCTGCTTTAGTAGGTATATTTCAAGATTAACTGGCTCTGCAGATATTCATAATATATTAAGTATAATGAATCTAAAAAGATCTAAGCTAAAGTTGATAAATAGATCTGCAATAAACTAGCTAGTGTAAATAGTTAGATATTGTAATGATATTAGTTTGTAACAGTATGAGTTAATTAAACAGAGTATTTAAATAGATAACTTATAGGTAGGTTACAGATATAGCAGTATAGTATAGTACTAATAAGTAGTCTAATATCTATATAGCAGACTACTTAAATTAGATAATAACTAAAGTTATACATATAGCTTGTTATATACTCTTCATATAATTACAAATAATAGAAGATTACTCATAAATGACTCTATATATCAAACTAATAAAAATTCACTCAATAATATAAACTATCTTAATAATAAAAAAAGAACTATTTCAATAAGCTAATTCTAATAGTATATATTTTATTAAAATTAGACTAATAGTTCAAAAATTATAAACAAAAATATAAATTTACTATTATAATAATATCTAAAAAAAATAATAAGTCAACTCATAGAACTCTTTCTGACGATCATCAAAACCAAAATAATGGAATAACAAAAAAGTTATTTTTCTTGCACTACTACTTAGTAAAGCAACTTAAAGTGTCTGACTATACAAGGAATAAACCACAAAACTGTGATAAGTCAGAAGCAAGAACTGCAACAAGTTAGTTTCAAAGTTGTACTAGGCTTTTTGCTGTCTGACTTTGGCAAGGTGACTTTAGATTTGCTTAGTAAAAAGGTGCTGAAGGTGAAAAGAAGAAATAAAGAGGGACTTCAACTATGCTTATGCTAGGTCAAGCATACTACTACTCTTTTAGTTCTGTTTTTTTGAAGAAACATCTTCTATACTCTTGACAACTAGACTTTTGGACTTGGAATTGTTTCCCTTTGTTCCTCGACAACAAAAAGTAGGGATTTGGCTTACTCCTGCTAAAAGATTAATATTCGTACTATATCTATTTTAGAAAAGTCACATTAGATACTACCAAATAACAACAACTCGTAAATATGTGTAGCATATGCTCTGTGCTCAACTTCTGTTGACTGAATACTACGTGAAATTCATAAAGGCCTTGTTTTGTTGGATTAGTACTAAGTAGACATATTGGAAATTGTTATTCAAAGAGATATATACATAGGTAGCAACTAGTATATATAATTTTTAAAGGTAGTGCTTGCTTTTAGGCTTGCCTTTAGGTAGAACTACTTTGGGTTTTTTTTTCTTTTTTTCTTTTTATGTTAAAAAGAAAATTTTGTTTCTTTTATTTTGTTTTTTTTGTTTTGTTTTCTTTCCTATCTATTTACTGCAAGTATAGTTTTTTACTTGTTAGCAAGTTTTCTATACTATGCTTATGTTCTTATAGCATGTGGCTCTATACTTTTCATTATTTGTAACAATTTTTTATTTTTTTCTATCTTGAAACTAGATATTAACAACTTTTAGTTTAGTCTTAGATTAGATTAGGAGGGACCTAGGATCTTGATAGTAGCTGGAAGTCACTGATTGTTGATCAAAAGTTAGGATGTACTGTTTCATACAATAAACTACTTTTAGGAGATAAATGGCTTTTGTGGCAGATCGAACTTGGGCACGTTTAATATAGCTGAGTTAGTCTAAACCAAATCTTAGAGCAGTATATAGTTATGTTGAGATATAATAGTATACTATATGTTATCTTCTAATAAACTATCTATAATAAAGGAAAGGGCAAGATCGCTCAAGTGGAAAAAAAAATAAAAATAAAAATAAAAAAATAAAAATAAAAAAAATAATAAGTTTAGTATTTATCTATATATTTATATTTATAATTTGTATATTAGTATTATTATCTAAATTAGATTTAGTTTTTATTTTAGTTTTAATATTAACAAATTATATAATATTAATATTTATAAGTAATATATTACTAATTTTTAGAGAAAGTATATAAGTATTTAGTATAGTAATTGTAGATATAATATTAAGAAGTTGAGCAATATCATATAATATAATAGAAGTATAAAATTTTATTTATAAATATTAGTTTTAAAATAATAATTTTAATATTTTAATATATTTGAATAATTAATAAGAATTTAGTTATATTAATAGTAATATTAATAGCAATGTTATTAATTATATTATTAAATAGTTTAGTAAAAGTAAAAAGTAGAGTTATTATTAAAAGTTAAATCAATTCAATATTTTAGATAAAGAATAATATTTTTAATAGTAGTTGTTTTTTAGTAGTCGATAATAAAAGTTAAAACTAGTTTTAATAATTTGAGTTTATCATATAAATTTTGTAATATTTTAGAATTTATTAAAATTTAATTGGATAAATTTCTAAAATATTACAAAATTTATATAATAAACCTGAATTATTAAAACTAGTTTCAATCTCTAGTCTATAATATAGAGTTATTAGTTATTAGAAAAAAAGATAATAAAAATAATTTGTAAGATTAATAATATTGATAGTAATTAAGTTAAACATTTCTTTTTGAATTTATGTTAAATTAGCATATGTTCAATAATTGATATTGTTGTATTTGAGTCATGAAAGTTGTTGTTTTTGTTATTTATTGTGTTATTATTATTAAAAGAAGTGATAGTAGTGTTGTTTTTGAAGAGGTGATATCTTTTCTCAGTTTTGTATATATTCTTAAGCATGATGTAGTTAGTATTAGGTGTTGAAAATATTAGTTTAGTAAATAATATCAATTTCCTTTTATTTAGTAACTTTCTAAAAAGAAGATTTTCTTTGTATTTTTTTTCTTATTCTCTATTTTGGTGCAGTATAGTGAAGTGGGTTACGAGAAAAAGAAAGTATTAATATTTGTAACTTTTAATACGAGATGAATTTGAGTATTATAATGTTTTATCATTTTCATCAATTAAATATTAAGCTACAATACAAAAACATAATTTTCATAACACAACCTTCAGCCTGCCTGGCTGATAGGCTGAGGTCAGTCAGATATTAGCTAATCATAATTCAGTATTTTGTCTAAAATTTGGCACTTTTAAAAAAGTTGGCGTCTTGCACTATATAACAAAACTTAAAATTATTTATTTTATAGTATTCTTAATCTTTGCTTAAATATAACAAGTTATATGCAATAGCAATATCCTCAAATATAGCTTATAAGAAGAATTCATATATTTTAATTTCTATAAATACACTTTTTTTTTTTTTTTTTTTTACTACGAATCTCTTATCAATATTTTCATTATAAAATTTAGTTTGGTTCATACAAGTTCTGCATAGGCAGACCTGATATAAAACCCATGTGATTTGCTTTTAATATTAACCTTAATGATTGATTTAAGAATAATTTATTGAAGTTGTAATTTCTTCTGCTTGTATACTACGTTGTTTATACATTTCGCTATAGATTAAAAAAGTAAATAAGAAATGAAAAGATAAATATGAAAAATTTAAAAGTTAAATAAGAAATGAATAAATCATATATATATAATCATTGTTTATAGTCAAACATACCCATAAACGATTCCAAGAAGTGTGATTAACATTATAATAGCAGTTCCATCTATGCTTATAGCTGCTATAGTTATGTACAATGGAGTATATTTCTCTACCATTATTCTCGTGATTGCTACACAAAAACCTAAAAATCCTAACCAACAAACTAAAATAGAGAGGCTAAGATTCATAATCTTGAGCTGCGTATTGTAAAAGTATTTTATAATCAATATAATTTTTTATTATTATTATTATTATTTTATTTTATTTTTTAGAAACATACCTTTTTTAAATGAATACGATAACTTTCTAGATATCGATTCTTATTTCCCGAATTTCTATTGTCCATTAATCCTACTAGTGTAGCACTTTCATTAATCAATTTAACAACCAATCTTCCATACTTTATAAAACATACAGCCCCTAACGCTTCTGAGACTCCAAGTGCAGTTGCTAAAAGAGTTTGAAATAAATTAAATAATGTTTCATCGCCAATTTTTTGAAAATATCCTTTTAATGTTGACATTGTTAAACAAATAATGGTTAACAAGATTATATATATCCAATATACTTTATACACTGAGTTAATGCTTGGTATAAAGCGATTGGCTGTCAGATGGTCTACAGGGAGGTCAGCATCGATACTATAGATTGTGTGTTGGTTTAATGCTAATCGAGGAAGAACTTGAAATCTAAATAAAAATTTGTAGAGTTTATATTTATTATTTATAAACCTAAAAAAAAACATTATTTAAATGAAAAATTTACATGCTAACTAAGTAGGTTGCAATAGCAGCCAATCCGAACTCCCAACCAATTACTGAAATAATTGATTTTACAATATAATTATCATGAATCCAATCATTCGTCATTATAAGCATGGAAATAGCTCGAACTGAAAAAAAAATTTGAATATGAATATTGAATATTGAGTATAGATCATACTAGTGAAAGTTAATAGAATATTGAATTGAATAAAATCCAATTTAGGAATAAAAAAGACATACGTACATATTCCATGTAAATATATAAGAATTAGAAATCCCTTAATAAGATTTATGTTAATATTATTGTTTTTGATATAATTAAAGGTTATTTGATAATTTAAAATAACGAATGATAAAACCGAGAGAGTAAAATATATCACTATCGAAACATTGCATATCCAATATAAGTATACGCTTCCATCGCAATTTGTTATAATTGATAAGTCCCATCGACATGGGAAAAATGAATTATTTTGGTTTCGTTGGATAACTATATCATTTACGCTTAAATAGACCATAGTCATTAAATTTATCTGTAGTAAATAATTAATTTGTGGAAAAAATATAAAACTTAAAAGAATTTCGACAGAATCTACTGTATTTGTATAATATCGAATATTTTTATATCATTTTAACACCCTTTTTTGGAGCATACAACCAAGGTTTCTTGGATGAACCAATTGTATATCAATCATCTTTTGTTTACGAAAAGGCATCCTATTATAAAAAAAAATATCACTGGACATTTGTAATCATGCCCTAAATAGTTTCTATAAATCAATTACAACTATAGCTATATTATGGACATCTTTCGTCCTATAATGATTGTGTTACTGTAAATAATGAACAAAAATTCAACGCGGTTCTACTAGGAGGTTTCAAAATTATCATATCTTTCAAAAATAAGTAAGAGTTTAAAAAATCGTATTTGTATTTTAAAATCGAAAAATGTGTTTAATTTATGAAACATGTAAACTTTTTTGATTATGTTGTTTAAATCGTTGATAAATATAATGAATGATATGGGGTCTGTGCCTTGAAAATGACCTTACGGGACTATGTAGATTTTATGAATAAAAATTAAAATTTCTAACTATCTAGTAATCCAATTCAAATAATCTTTTTTTTATTTTGTAGAACTCACTGAGCTTTACAAAATAAAAAAAAGATTATTTGAATTGGATTACTAGATAGTTAGAAATTTTAATTTTTATTCATAAAATCTACATAGTCCCGTAAGGTCATTTTCAAGGCACAGACCCCATATACATATTACGTAATATAAATAGATTCTAATTAAGATTTTCAAATGGTGATGCATCACACGTACAGTATGTGTTCAATTCCGAATCTTAAGATCATACGATTAAAAAATCTTTAAGATCATACGATAATATTACAATAAAAACAAACTTTTGAAGAACATTATTTACAGTTTTTTTCTTGGCTTTACTCATTTACTCATATTGAGGTCGAAAGATAACAATCTCGCAAGGAGATATGTAATTCAAAGTGATTATGTAACAAAAGGCAATAATCATATATTTAGTAGTCAACAGTTATATGAAAACCGAATTAAAAAATATCATCACCCAGGAGCATAGCAGAAGACTTGTCACGACTGAAAAATTGCCATGCATGCTAATTTTAAAAAATAAATAGACTTTTTAGAATGCTAGTAGATTTTATCAGATTTCCGATGATATCATTGTAATTTTTCTGTTCATTTTTTATTTATGTTTTCTTTATTTCGTATTACTTTCTTAAATTATATATTTCGTAATACGTATTTATTTATTTATTTTTTTTTACGTATCTTTCATTGACATTTAGTTAGGTTACATTTAATTATTAATTCGTCTTGTTTGGAAAGTGAATTATTTATAAATGTAAGTTTATATCGATATAATTAAGAGAAGATCAAATATACTACGTACGTTAACCATTGTTAGTGATGTGGGCTGACGGCAAAACCTTAGGCCGAGACTGAGGTCTACAGTATATCGTTCGGCCCGGTCGACCGGAGACATCTGATTAAAATTAACTATCCTATTCGATAATAGATAAGTAGTATATATGTTGTGCGTCAGATTAACGTGCGTCAGATTAAAACCATTAGGCCAGCATTAAATGATCTGCAATAATCGGCCTTGCTAAATCCTAGTCCTCACCCTAACCCTAACTCTAATT